AAACGTGGGAGGAAAGTGAGGGGAAAGAGGGGAGTAGGAGAAAGAAGGGAAAGGGGAGGGATAGGATAGGAGGATGAATGGAAGTTGGGAGAGGGAGAGAGGAGAGAAGGTGGAAGGGAGGGGAAGGGAGGAATAGGATAGGAGGATAAATAGAAGTTGGGGAGAAGGTAAGAAAGTGAATGGAAAGAGGGAGAAGGTGGAAGGGGAAAAAAAGGAGGAAGAGGAGAGGAGTATAAATAGATGTTGGGGAGAGGGAAGGAAGGTGAGGGGAAAGGGATGAGAGGGTCGAAGGGGGGAAAAGGGAGGAAGGGGAGAGGAGGATAAATGGAAGTTGGGGAGGAGGAAGGAGAGTGAGGGGAAAGAAAGAAGAAGGTGGAAGGGGAAAAGGAGATGAGAAAGAGAGGAGGAAAAGGGAGGAGGAGGAGAGAGGAAAACGTGGAAGGAGAGAGAGGGGTAGGGAGGGAAGAAAGTGGAAAAGAGAAAAGGGGAGGAGCAGTAGAGGAGGATAAAGGAAGTAGAGGAGATTGGAAACCGAGGGAGAGAGATGACGTAGAAGGAAAAAGAGGAGGTGAAGGAATTATGGAATAAAAATGAAAGGAGAAAGAGAAAAAAGTTGGAAGAGGAGAAGGGGAGGAACAAAGAAAGAGGAAAAGGGCGTCGGAAGAGGGTGGAAAGAGCAGGAGAGAGGAGAGGAGTTGAAGGAGAAAGGGAAGAGGGAAAAAGGAAGATGGGGAGAAGGAAGAGTGGAAAAAGAGGGGAAGAGTAGGGACAAAAAAGAAAAAAAATGGAAGAGGAAAGCGAGGAAGAATTGAGGGATAAAAAGAAGAGGAGAGAAGGCAGAGGAATAGAAGAGGAATTAAGAAAAAGGGAAGAAGAAAATGAGAACGAAAAAACTTAGAAATGCGAAAGATAAAAAACGTAAGAAGAACAGAAAAAAAACAGATAATCATAAACAACATGAAAAAAAGAAGAAGAAAGAAAGAAGAAGAAGAAGAAAGAAAGAAAGAAGAAGAAGAAAGAAAGACAGAACAGAAAAAGAAAGAGAGAAAAAAACAGGAAAAAAGGAAAAAACAAATTAAAGATAAGACGCTACACGCTGTTGCTCCTTCGCCCTCACTCATGCTAAAGGAAGTAAATATTTCCTGTGAGGAATTCCTCGTAACAGCTTTTGATGGATGAGACCTCATTGTGAGTGCGTTTGTATGTGCGTGTGTGCGTGTGTGCGTGTGTGCGTGTGTGCGTGTGTGTCCTTTGTTGGGACTGAGTGGTATTTTGGGTCATGATGATGCTAGTGCTGATAATATTGATAGTAAGAGTAATTATGATGATGATGATGATGATGATGGTGATAACAAGATAATAATAATGATAATATTGATAATTGTGATGATACTGGTAGTAAAAATAACAAAAGCAATAACAGTGATGATGGCGATGACAATAATAATAATAAATAAAAATAATGATAGTAGTAGTAGCAGTAGTAATTAAAACAACAATAAGACGAAGGATAATGGTAATTAAAAGAGGCTGACCATAAAGAACCATCCTTTAAAACGAGTTGCTTCCTTGGAAAAATAATATTGATAACAGAATAAATAGATAAATTAATAAACAGATGAATAACAGAAAATAAAAATGTTCGCTGCATATGACGTCATTCGTTATATGCGCACCTCTCACGGACGCTTTCCACGGACACACACGAGAGCAATACCATAAACAATAACGAATACAGGTGGTGCATACTAAAAAAAAAAAAAAAAAAAAAAAAAAAAAAAAAAAAAAAAAAAAAAAAAAAGGTCATATGATTACAAAGGAAATGGTTTCAAAAAATAGGAAATGAAAAAAGTAGAGGAAATAAATAAGAATTATATATATAAAAAAGTAACATACAAAGGAAAAGGGATTGAAGTGTTAACGGCTTTGTGACGCATGATAGCTTTTAAATTACGTTTGATAAACTGTGTCTTTTTTATTTGGTTTTTTTTCTCTCTCTTCTTCTTCTTCTCTCCCTTTCCTGTCTATCTGTTCGTGGCGATAATTTGTTGATTAAGTTTAATAGAGATGTATTTTGTTGTGTCTCTCTTCCGCTTCTCTCTTTGTCATTGGCTGTATCTCTCTTTGTCTGTCTGTCTGTATCTCTTACTCTATCTATCCATCTCTCTATTTGTCAATCTCTCTCTCTCTTCTCTCTCTCTCTTCTCTTTCTCTCTCTCTCTCTCTCTTCCTCTTTCTCTCTCTCTCCTCCCTCCCTTTCTCCCTCTTCCTCCTTCCCTCCCTCCCTCCTCTCTCCTCCCTCCCTTTCTCTCCCTTTCTTTGTATCCTAGCGGTGCCTACAATGAAGCATAAAAAAAGCTCATCAATGAATGAGACCCAAATATTCTCCTGTGCAGGTTTTTATGGAGGTGATCGACACGACAAAGAAATATTGGCCTAAGAAGGGAGAGAAAGGAGAGACGGAAGGAGGGAGGAAAGGGAGGGAAGGAGGGAGGGAGGG